ATACGCTTTGGCTACGATTACTTATGTAACTGCTAATCCATTTTAACAATTGGCCTTTTATACCATACCTCTCTAATTTATACACAAGCCCACTGTGCCATACACGATCAAAAGCTTTTGATACATCACAGAATACAATACAATAGTTTTCTTTGTTATCTAACGCTGTACAAATTTGGTGGTAAAGTTCTATTAGTTGATGGACAGTTGAGTGACCAGCCTGAAACCCAGATTGGTACTTATACAACAATTTGTTCTCATGAAAGTAATTATACAAATGTTTGAACACAACTCTCTCAAACAATTTTCCTAAACAACTAATGAGTGATATCGGTCTATAATTAGAAACGATAGTGTGATCACCTTTCTTAAATAATGGCATAACGTTTGCTTGTTTCCACACTGATGGAAATATACTTGATTGTAGTGACATATTGAACAGTAAACACAATGCTTCGCTTATAGAATATACAGTTTCCTTTAATAATTTATGACAAATTTTATCCGGTCCGGAGGCTTTATTAAGAGGCAAACATTGTATTATGTCTTCAATTTCCTTTTTAGATATGATTATGTTGTTCATCTCTGTCTCTGTACGAAATGTGAAGTCGGGCATAGTTGTTCTTGTATCGTGGACATCAGATATAGATTGAAAATATTTATTCAGTTTCTCTGCCTTTTCAATATCAGTAAAAATTGTCGGGTGCTCGTCCGTGTCATACTGTTTAAGAGCGGCTATGTTGTCAGCTGAGCCAGAGTTCTTCACAACATAACGTAAAACTTTCCAGTAAGAGGGTTTGTTTTCTGCATGCAATTCTGATAGCAATTCATCGAGGTTTGAGTAAAAATGTTCTTTAGCGTGACATTTCATGTTATTTACTTTGTTCCTCTGATTTTTATAGGCCCGAATGTCTTTTTCCTTTTTACTTTTTCTAGCCTTCTTTTTTAATCTATCTCTTTTCCTGGATTCTCGTCTTAAACTGAAATCATACCAAGGTTTGTCCTTTGGACGAATGGTTACTACTTTGGTTGGAATGCATATTTTAACATATTTATTCAAGTATTTGTAGAACAGATTACATGCTTCATCAACATTTGAATTTTGATTAAATAATTCATTCCAGCAAGTATTTTCAATGAGCGAATTGAGTTTATCAAAGTCACCGTTTTTAAAACATGAAATTTCTCTTTTATATGCTAATTTTGTTCGCAAACCGGTGTCTATTTCAATGTAAGTTCCCCTATGGTCGCTAATTTTACTATCAAAATCAATTACACCACTGTCGATGACTTTTATATCTTCACTGATAATAATAGGATCCAATAAACTACTGGTATGGTTCGTAATTCTGGTAGGCTCGGTTATGATATTGTGTAGATTTTTCCTATTTAGTAATTCATTTACGTTTAAGCTCCTGGACAATAACATGTTTTCATTTATGTCACCAACAATAGTAATCTTGCACGAAATATCCAGGGCATTTTCAATGCTATCATCTAAGTGAGTCCAAAAGTTCACTGAATTATGTTCAGGTCTGTAGACAGAGCACAATAAAATTGAGCTTTGTGGTAAGCATATTTGAATCCATATCGATTCGTCTTGCATGTTTTCTAATTCGTGTCTTCTTTTAAAAGATAACAGCTTATTTACATATATCATAACACCACCACCGAACATATTTCTGTCTTTTCGTACCGGTTCGTAAAAGTTTTCCCAGCTCAAGTCTTCATTTTTAATACTGTCATCTAGGTGTGTCTCGGTAAAACAAACGACGCTGTAATCTGAAAGGTATTCACTTAAATAAGAGAGTTTGTTACGTATACTTCTAGCATTTAGGTGAAATATAGACAGTGACTGGTCAGCGTTGTCACGGTTCGGTGGTCCAGGATTTGGATGTACGTCCCCGGCTAGCATGAGCAACAATAACAATACAATGGTTACATTAGCGCTTCTGATCTGAGCTTGTATGAAACAAAGAAATACAAACACGCTGCACGCTCTGCATTCGACATGCAGTATATCACACAATTTGTAAAATTCGTTCAGAAAAAATACAGTGAATGAAGTACTACTTAGGCTGAGTTTATGTGTGCAACGCAGACTCTTTTGACACAAAATACAATTGAAAACCCCGATCACCACACGGTGTTGAATTACATCATTACCCATTGGGTAAGATAAATATATACATACTTCTCATAGGTGTGTGGTAGTGTGATCGGGAACACTGACAATAGTAAGATAACTGCGAGAACAAAATATCATGCATATTTAACAAAACCGGCAATGCAGATCTTGACAAAGAATTATGGCAAGGATAGTTAGTCATCATAAAACTGTGTACACCAGAAAGCAATAGGAAAAGGATACAGGAAGGTTTCGGTAGGAATACATAGGAAGGCTGACAGAAAGTAGAGACAGAGGTAAACTTATATACAATTATAGTACATGACTCAAGTAACTGTAACAACAGATACATGGAGTGTTTTCCGTTGTGTGGACAATATATTCATATATTTTAACTCAAATTAGTATCCATTTTGTTTAAGTCATATCGTCAGTTTTAGTTATAAAATAAAATGAAACGGCTATTCATGGACACTGTTGATATGAATTTATATTATATTGACTATTACACTCCCAAGAAATACGTATACATGTTGCAGTTACAGTTACATTTATCTTATAGCACTTGTCCAAATTAAAGAAATATCGTATACGACACTATAAACTTCAATTTCATATTTAAACATTGTTCAAAGGTTTATATATCTTGGGGCCTATATCCACGTATGATATCATATTGAACATTGATTAATACCCAAAGTGAAATTAAATGTGAAAAAATGTGCAAGATCTATATCATAAAACAGTGAACAGCAGGATATAATGATCGTGTGTACATTAAAGCACCTTCGCCTCAAAGAAATTTTACAAAATGGCGTGTTGACTGTCAACAGTGCGCGGGATTTTACGAGGGGACTTTTGTTGAATCAGGGTTCGTATATACATAAATGTGACATGTAAGTAATCAGAAACATTCCGACAATCTGTGTACTGTTATCTGTTATTATATTTTTCATTGAAACCAACGGAAATTGGCAAAATTTCCGATAAATACCGTTGTCGTTGTGCGTGATTTTGCGTCAGTCATGGCGTCGCACAGGACGGAAGCTTCGATAATTTCTGTTGAAAATATCAAATCATTTCAATGTGTCTTTTTTTAATTTCATAATTCTTCCTACGCTTTTCTTCCCATGTATATTCTGAAATTGCGGAGCCAATGTATTCAACGAATAGACGATGGCTTTGTTTACATTTCCAACAAGTGCAGATTTTCAGCGTTCGTTTTCACACGCATTTATTTTGCTAGATTTCATCTGGACAATTGGTATTGGTGACAAAGACCATTTGGCAGTTCATCCTAAAATATTTGAGGAATTCAAGGATGTAGGTATCGCAGCTGATTTTGAAATATGCGTGATGGTATTTGCGTCTCATTACCGGTGTTCGTGTAACGTGATTTTGTAAACACTATCCAATATGGCTAGACAAAACGACTGGGCAACCTTCAAGGTGAAAAGCCCCAGTGGCAACAAACTGAAGGAATATCAAAATTTGAATAATAGGTGGGAGACTGTGGAAGCGTTGAGTGGGGTGTGCCAGTTCCTCACCGATTAAACCAACGATGAAAAAATGGTAGAACGACGAAATCTATATCTTTCAAAGAGCTCTTCGTCGTTGTACATATGAAGAGGGTTGAATCGGTCTCGAAATGTCCGCTGAATTGCTATTTTTTTCCTTTTTAGCCTCTAGGCGACGCGTGAGGCAAACAACCTCCGCCATCTTTCTTGCAGCAAATTTTGTCTTAAGTCTACTCAGGGGCAGTCTTAGGACTTAACATCAAATTTTGTCATAGACTTAAGATATTATCATAGATTGAGCTTCGTGATCCCCGATTTAAGACAAAATATGGTCTTAAGTTAGTTTCATGATCTCGGGGCCAGGTGTTCACGAAAAGATGAGCGTACCCTGAACCACCGGTGGTACTCATTACAAATACTTGCAAAGGCGAGTCAATTGTTCATCTAAAAAAACACGGGAACACATGGTACAAGTCAAAGTAGGGAATAGCACTGGACATCGTTTTTGTCCTTGATATGTCAAATTTGGAAATGTTCCCTCCATGTCTACCATGAAATCATGTTATAAAATCAAACTAAGGAATCAAATAATCGATTTCTTAAAGTCAAAGTAAAGATTTAATGACAATGAATAAATACTAAATAGAGTTTAATTTTGTTTCAACATTTTGAACACAAACTAAATATTTTTATGGTGGTCATCATGACTGTATTGCGTCTAGCCATTCCACAAAACCTCGAGGTAGAAAATGACAAAAAACCAGAAGGATTAACATTAATTTTAAATAACACCTGGACATCCTGATTGTCAAGCAATCACTGACAACGCTTTCCTGTCATGAGAGAGTGCACGCCCATGTAGATACACATACATTTTCACCTTACATTCATTTCAACATACAAATGAAAACACCTTTGGTAAACCTGGTGAACGCGTAAGTTCCATTCGGCAGAAAGAAAGAGAAATATTTTTTTCCGATTTTTTATTTGTTTCCACCGTTCATAACTTAAGAGTTGACAGACTCTGTTCACCAATTTTCTTGAAATAATAAAAGAGACAAAATTCTTTTCCTATTCATTAGAAACCCCTGTTGCAAACAGAGTTGATAGTACCATTCCGACTTACCAACGGCACTCCTCGTGAGACAAACAAATATTAAAAGTGACAAAACCCTTTTCACATTCATATATTGTATGATTTCGACTGCACCATGGGAAATCATCGTGACTTGGAATATGTCAACGTTTTTGCTTTCTTGGTGTTTATTAAGCATTTAAAAGTAAGATGTACATGACAAGGAGGATCATGGATAACAACTTCTTTATCAAAGATACACACCGTGATGTTTTCTCACCTGGATAGAGCCAGTAATAGTTGATGCCAACCGCACGTGAGAGATTGCCGACAAGGTAACGACTTCCAGCAAGACAGCATCTCTGCCTGGACTCACGTAAGAAAAACGAGTAACACTGTATGTCCCTCCAGCAGAGCTCGAAACACCCGTATAGAGAAGCGTCTACCAAGGTGGTAGGGCATTCATGCATCATGTCTGTAAACATAAGTCCTGTAACTGTTGTCATCAGAGTACACGCTGCCATCGCCGTCCACTGCAAACACTCATCTGCTGCAACGTCACGACTGAGTGTGAAGTCTGAAAATCATTATTACATCAGCTTCGCCCAGCGACGAGTTTTTTGTACAGTAACATTTCCCATCTGCTGATTAGGATTACGCTAAGGACGAAATTAATCTGACAGTTGAAAGCAATTGCTCTACATGTGTAGGTGGTTACGGTTTGCGTGGATTTGTGTAGTCTTGCTTACCGTATTCGACGTAATAAGCGCCCCGCTCTAATAAGCGCCCACGGCGATATTTGCTAATATATTGGCTTGTGAACAATCCCAATAAGCACCCTTCGTGTGTTATATGCACCCTTAATTACGGGAAATTAAATTCTGTAAAAAAATATCTGGCGTGTCTAATACGCACGGACCTTTCTTTTGTATCATTTCAGGCTGTCAGCCTAAACCACAAATTTACGATCTTTCAACTCTTTCACCAAAATTATATTCTAATAAGAGCCCCCTCTTTCCAATTTTGAGAGCGCCTTGGGCGCTAATTACGTCGAATACGGTATCAAAAATCGATTGTCAGGATATTAAATATGTTGTTAGCTGTAGACTTCAACTACGATGGAGAAACCTCGTTGTGTCTGTATTCAACAAGTTTCCAGGACACATGAAACTGACGTGTAGTAAACCACTTCGGGGTGTTGATGGAATGTTCTTTAAAACAATTAACTTGACTAAATCCACATCCTTTCCGTCATCATAAGAAATATCTGCTAAAAGCTGAGTCCATTCTACGATTCCGACTATATCACGAAGGCATGTATTTATGAAGCACTATCACTAGTGATGATACCTGGTGTTCACGAAAAGGTATCCTTCGCCACCTGTGGCATCCATCCCAAACACATGCCAAGGCAAGTCAATCGTTCACCTGAAAACACACGGGGACATATGGTACATATTACAACATCTTTATCTCACTTCTACATGTTCACGTTTTTGTTGTGTGACAAAAACGTTTAAAAGCCCTGATGTGGTAACAATGAGTTGATTCTGTCATGTACACATGTATATTTTATATTGACGAGACATATTTTTTAGTTTTAGGACGAGAAGAGCAAATGGGCTTATCGTGACTTCAAGCAGGACATGCTTGGCCTTTTCGCGAACACCCGGTGTCCTCACTGATTTTCAGTGATTCATACATAAAATATTCATCACTATTTTGCCTTTGATGTATCTGTTTGGATAATTGAAACTGATTATTCTCTGGCGTTGACGTTTCGCATTTAGACGTTTATAGTAGCAGTCATGTCTGATGCAATTTCCTATTTTGACTGAGACCACACATTCCCGTGGTTTTTTTTCATGTGAACAATTGACCTGCCTTTGCATGTGTTTGAAGCAGTCGCCACATATGGAACAGGATACACTCACGTTGCGCGAACACCTGGTCTAATCACTTTTTGATTGTGATTGATAAACATATGAAAAATTAGAAATTCATGCACACACTGGTAATTTATTATTGAAAAGATCACTACTGCACCCGCCGCCAAACTTGATCATTATTTCAAACTTTACATGTCCAACAATAGAATGATAAAACCTGACTATATAACATATTTAATTATATTTGACAGTAGGAAGTGGTTCTCGTTCGATAAATGATACCACCAGTCAATCACGAGCTTCCTTGGAAACTTCATATGTACTCATTCAGTACTTTAATGCTTTGATGCTCCTGATAGGGTTTATATACTTCTCAAAAGAAGTTAAAGAAAAGCTGATTTTTTATGGTTATGGCCATGACAGATTAACTATAGCCATATGGAAAAATCGGATGTTCTTTAACTTCTTTTGGGTAGTATATAAGGTATTAACTAAAAAAGAACATTAAAATGTTTGTTAAACATCGAGGATAGCTCGCTACAAAACATAACTGTTAATAATACGAATAGTGAGACTTGATTTAGATCTACATTGCTTGACTTTGAAATTGTACCTAATGTTCTAAGCTAAGGCATTATCCGTGATTGGTTTTACAAACTACAAATGCTTCTTGAAAACAACAGCTCAATGGTTCGTGAAACTCCAATGCACATGTAAGAATATCTGCCTTTGGCGTTATGTTTCTTTATGTGTTTACAGTCGATATTCCCTACATCCTGAGTACAGTGGGGGATCAATGTGGAGAACCTTGGTATACTTGTCTCACGTAGTAAAGCGACAAAACCAACAATTGTGAAAGTGTTTTTAATTTTATTTTTTTTAAAAATGTCCCTGCTTTTCAATACACTTCTCATATCGATAGTGAAGCTTTTCAATTCCTGTCAGGAAGAAGTTTTCCGAAGCCACCCTGAAAAAAACCCATTCACGGTAGCTTTGAGGTCATCGTTGTCGTCATAGCGCTTCCCACGAAGGTGTTTTTTCAGTTTATGAAACGGGTGAACACCTGGTCTGGCGCGTATGGAGTGTGAGGAAACTCTTCGAACCCACATTGTCGCACAGCAGCCTTTGCAAGTCGAGAGGTGTGAGAAAAGGCATTGTCATGATGTAGTAGAACTCTAGCAGTCACCATTCCCCCTTTTTTTACAGTATCCCTCAGGCGATGAAGCACATCAGCATAGTAGGCCCCGGTAATCGTCTTTTGATTTTCGAAGTAATCAACAAGGATGACACCCTTTGCATCCAAGAATACAGTGGCCATAACTTTCTTCACTGTTCTTGAAGACTTGCATTTCTTTGGTGCCGTCGAAGTGGAATGGTGCCATTCGATGGAACGACGTTTTGACTCGGGATTATAGTGGTAGACCCATGTTTCATCACCCGTTACCAATCTCTTTTTGAATTTGACGAATCCTCCTCAGTCAGCTCTAAATTGTATCTGGCAATGTCAGTTCTTTTTTCCTTAAGATCAGAATTTTGAAACTTTGGCACCCAACGAGCAAATACCTTATTCATCTGTAAATGTTCATAAATAAAAGTTTCAATAGGCCCATGGCTTAGACCTGTTTCTTCCTCAAGTTCAGTAATGGTAATACGTCTGTCTGACAGTATAAGTGTTTGTCTATCTTCTTGATTAAATCTTCATTGATGGAAGTTGACGGACGTCAAGACCTAGGGTCATCATCAAGGCTTGTTCTCCCAGCCTTAAACATAGCTGCCCAGCGTTTAACAGTGGAATAGCTAGGGCACTTATCCCCATACACTTGTGACATGCGGTTATTGATTTTCAAGTACAGTCAAAAACTTGATGACTGCTCGGTACTCGTTCTTGTCCATTCTGTGTCCATTTGGACCCCTATCACGTTCAACTGTCTGTCAGTAAAATACAAACGGCCTCAACAGACCAAATACACTTGCAATGAACTACTCAAACAATGTACTACATTGACTAGTTCACTTTGTTATGGCCCATAGTTGAAAGTAAGTCAGGCTTAGAACCTTTTGACCAGCCCTCGTATTCATAAGAAATTAATATAGTCGCGTGTACGATTACGACTGTATCATAAGCTTGTTTGTGCATTCTGTTTCAATTTGTGAGGTGGTTTATCGTTAATTAAATACCGCTAAATGTTATTTAAAGCCGAACATATATGTAGATAAAATACAAAAGTCCAAAGATTGCTGTATAATTTACTCGATCTTCAATATCAAAATGATTTAGTAATCTCAATGTTCTAAAAAAATCAGACATATCTGTTTCTAGTTCATGTAAATCCTGTTCTATTGGAGAAGGGGTGACCTTCATACCTCTAAGTAATACAGAAATGTCCTCCTTTGTCAGATCTCAAAAGAAGGGTTGATTACTTTTTGTTTTATTGTTGAGTTTCCCCTCCCTGGGGGAACCTCGCTGTCACAAAAAAAAGAACGTTGATGTCCATCTTCATCTCGACCTCCATCTCGACCTCGTCCTAGATTCTGGAAATGTCCTCGCTTGTTATCACGGTCTTGTAGATACAGACATGTATGTACGAATATATATATATATGTATTAAATTTTGCCTAATTAATTTTCATATACCAGTTACATTTGGCGATCACTTACTTTGAGATATTCGAATTAACTTTAGCAAAGGATTCAATTTTTACAGATTTTAGATGTTTTTCACTTCAACCAGGTATTATCCGAATGTAGCTTTTGTGTTTGTAGGTACAATGGTATGGGGAATTATATAATTAAGCCCCTGTCGATGTGTGTACTTAGTGCCTCAGCCTCCAAATAGAATTATGTTATGGTTTTGCCAATATTTTCTGCCACCTCAATAGATTTGTGCATTCTGTCTATTTATTTGCTATAACTTTTTAACAAATTTCCCTGTTTTGCAGTGTATCATATGTTCCTGTTTTTTTTTTAGGTGAACAATTGACTTGCCTTTGCATGTGTTTGTAACGGGTGCCACCGGTGGGGCAGGATACGCTCACCTTTTCACGAACATCTGGTGTCATCACTGTTTGATGGTGATTTATGTGCGCATGATCATGATATAGTCTGAATCAGACAATGTACTCTGCTTTCTTATGAATATTGAAATGTTTTTTATTTTAGAATGGGGTATAGTACTTGGGGGTTCCTCCCTCGGGCATCTGAGGTAAGCGTAAACAACAACACCTTCCAACACACAAGCGGCTCAATGTTAACTCACATTTGATTACTTAATCATAAAAACATAAATACGTTATCTTCAGATACAAAAGTGTATTTTGAAGCGTTGACTTTAATAATGTCCTGTCTCACCAGCAAATGTATCGGACTAAAACGAGACACACGTCACTTTGCCCTCTGATTGCAGATGTATTTATTCCCAGGTGATATGCACTCGTGTAGTAATACAGATCTTCACGCCTCAGATAATGATATTAACACGGATTTGGTTTGGTTTGTTGTTTAACGCCGCACTCAGCAATATTCCAGCTATATGACGGCGGTCTGTAAATAATCGAGTCTGGACCAGACAATCCAGTGATTGATATCATGAGCATCGATCAACGCAATTGGGATCGATGAGATGCATCAACC